AACACTGATTAATAAACTAATTTTTGCAGGGCAGCATTTATTTTTAATTCTGCAGACTCAATTGTTCTGAACACCTCTGAACTCAACTAGTGAGCTCAGAAAACAAAACAAGCTATAGACGAGACTCTTTTCTGGGGCAGATGTAGGTAAAAGTTCACAGGAAAAGGAGGACTTGCTGAAGGAAGTAAACAAGGAGGAGAAAGGGGAGGGCTTATTACTTGGTGATTGTCTGTTTGTTTTGTCTGTTAGTGGACCATGAAAGCGAGAATTGCCTGCAATGTTCATTATAGTTATTTATGTTTTTTTATTGTAGAGATGAACAGCTCAAGGAGGTCAGGACATCATACAACGTGATCCAAAAGTTGACACTGAACATCTTGGAATCAATTTAATTTAAAGCTGTAACTATTCTTAAACCATGCATTCCTGATGAACATGATCATCGGTTTTTACACAAATGTGGAGTTCATGCAGCTCAAGTAAAAAAAAAAAAAAAGCCTTTTTACTAGTGGGATGTGATTTTGGACACCAATTTTGGAATAGTAAAAATAGAACAAGATTTTATTTATCATTTATAGTTTGCACTATAAACAAAAAAATGACAGCAGAAGTCCAACCACTTGTGCAGCGAGCCAAGTTTACAGTCAACATGAAGAACATCACCAAAGTAGTAACAAAACGGTTAAGCACGGTAAAAAAAAAAAACATGGTTTCAGAAAAAGTTATCATGTCAGTCAACCTCAATCATTAGGCTACTGAAAAGAGTGCAAAAGATACACTACTGTTCAAAAATGTGGGCTTTTTTAATTTGATTGAAAAGTAGGCTGCATTTATTAGATCAAACATCCAGTAAAAACTAATTATTGTGAAATAGTATTACAATTTAAAATGACTGTTTTCTATTTATATATTTTAAAATGTAAATTTTGTGATGGCAAAGCTGAATTGTTCACCATTGTCCTCAGTGTCATAGTCCTTCAGAAATCAATCCAGAATTAATCACAGCTGAATATAGTTATGCTATTTAATTTGAAGAAAGTGAACTTTCTATTGATTAAAGAATCTCGTTTTTCAGGATTCTTTGATTAATAAGAACATTTGTGTGTACTATAAATATTTTTTAACATGATAAATGTCTTTACTGTCATTTTTCATAATGCATCCTTGCTGAATAAACATTTTAATTTCTCTAAAACTTACTGACACCAAACATGAACAGTAGTGTACTTTTTTTATGAGATAAGAATTGAAAAGGTACGTTGATTTTTCTGCACTAAATAATACCCATGCTTGTATTGACAAAGCCCCTTTTCTGTCCATCAAAAATCAATACCAGGACTCTGCTTGAGGGATTCAAGCGAAGTCACGCTCAGCAAGACGTCACTGCAGAACACTTGGGGTTTGAGAAGACTGGCATTGAATCGAACATGGTCAGTTCAGTTCTCTGTCTGAACACTATGCCAACCAGCCCCAGCTCCTCATCACCTAATATCCCCTCTGAGAGTATCAAGGGGGGAGCTTCTCCAACAAACCAACTTGTAAGGGAGATGGTAACACTACCCATCACAACAATGTATGATAGCAGAGAAATCCCACAGAGATGTATAGGAACTTACCACTTGGAGAATGGTTGGGTTGCAGCCGATAATGAAGGGCAGGCTGCGGAAGCCCTTGATGCGATGGGCGATACGGACAGGCAGCTCTTTATGTAGATAACTGGCACTGCTCTGCATTGAATCAAAGCACACACAGCTTCATTAGAACTCAATATTAACTCTCATAATGAACATTTCTCCAATGCCAAGTAAAAAGTACTTTATGGACCAGTTACCATGTTTATGTGAAAATGTTAATTATGTGCAATATTACATATATTAAAGTATCACAGTATTACCATTTAACACCATAAATGTATCATAATACCAACACTACTTGTAAAAAAATTAAATAAGATATATCCCATGACAAATCAACATAATGATGCTAAACAGACACAAAGCACAGTTTATGTACTGACAAACGACTGGTTTTTAGAAGACCGGCTCCAATGTGGGTTGGGATAAATGTAGGACAGAGGACAGAGGACAGGAGTGTGTAATTACCAGGACATGTTGTCCATCAGGAGACTTCCCTGCATACAGCATAGTGGCTGGTGTCAGTCTGACAGAAGGCTGTGAAGAGAACATTACTGTTAAAAATAGCATATACTTGAACTATAAAAGTGTTCATTTACTTGAATAGTCTATTAATCAAGGTTTCAGACTGTTTTGGAAAAGTTAAAGAAATATTAACTATTCCATTTAGTTTTATAGGATCTAGCTATATCTGTATCTTATAAACGTGATTATCCATGGAGTGATTCATGGATTTAGTTACATTTATTAATAGGCCTATGTGTAAGTGAAGGGAGTGCATGAGAGTTCAGCAGCAAAGGACAAATCTATATTTGATATTTTCAATTCACAAGGTTAACAATGTAAAACACCATTGGTTCTTGTGTGTTTTAATCATAAGAAAGAATGAATGAGACTTGATCATAAAACATCATCTTACTATGACATATCATTGAGAGCGATGCATTTTATGCAAGTAGTCTGCTATGCTGTTAAAAATATATAATTGAATTACAAGTTAGGAGAATTTCATCCAGCGTTTTGTCAAATAAAATAATAAAAGAATAAAAGTGAGGTGTTTTTTTCCTCCATGAGTACGAGCCTCATATCCTCACTATATCACACTATATAAGCCATTAAAGGGTTACAGGGTTAATGTTCCACGAAAGTAAATGATGACAGAATCGCCATCTCTGCGTAAATCATTCCTTTTACTTGTTTCGATTATGGAAATATTCATAATGAACATATTAGTAGAAAAGCAGCAGTGGCAGAGTGGTAATCACATTGGGTTTGTTGAGTCACTAACACAGTCCCCAGTGAGATGCTCAAAGTAGGACAGGTTACATAAGGATACTGTGCACACCAGCATGACTTAACACAACATGATGGATCTTTAGATGCACAAGTTTAACATAAAACCAAGAGTTTGAAATAATAAAATGCATTTGTCAAATGATTGGCACATTTATGAAGCCTTCTGCCCTTGGTGTGACCCGTGACTCGTGGCTCTTTAACTGCTGACACCTAACACTAAACACTAGATGTTTATCTGCCTTGATGTAAGATATCAGCAATCAACACACAGCTTAAGCATTCACTACAAAATAATAATAATAATAATAATAATAATAATAATAATAATCTTACTATTAAGACTCATTTTGCACAAAACGCAAACAAAGCAACATTCTATTTAGTGCACTGATGCCATACATCCACTTTCTGGTATATGGAAAAATTACTCAGAAAGTGAAGTTTGATACTTAATTAAATGCAATGAAAATTTTAAAAGATCAGTTATTTTGGGGGCCCACTGTATTTTGTTTTTATGGTCATTGCGTTATCTTTAGGTTTTGCGATAGAGGGTTTTATCAAGGAAGTTATTATCTGCTAAAGAGCTAAATGGCATTTCACCGGATGTGGCAGTAAATACTAACTTACCCTTGGACCACTAAAATTAAACATTTGAGACTAGTTAACTTAAAAACTGTAAGTGTAGTTGAGGCTCGTGAAAACACGAGTAACGTTAACCCACAAAAGTGGGATCCTCAGGCCATCCAAACCATGATGGATGGATGGATGGATGGAGACCACGGCGTATCGACTGCTACATCGCGGGGGTAAAGAGACAGCAGTTAATGGAAACTTGTCGGGAAATGGTGACTGACCTTCTCGGCAGACGCGTCGATGGCAGACTGGTTGTAGAAAGACGTAACGGTTTTGGACCGCTCCCGAGCCAGCTCAGTGTAACTGGACATGGACGATGTAGACCGAAATCTTCTGTCGCTGAGCGGAGCGGCTGCTTTGGCCGGTGTGGACAGAAAGAGCCTGCTCACGCTGATCCTGGAGGCGCCGCTGCCCAGCAGCTCCATGGCCTGGCCTGTCACACGACCGCGCATTTTTACTCTTTGATAACGCAAATAACAAAATTCAATCCCCTGCCTGTAGCGTAAACATCCGTCTACCTCGCCATCCAATAGAGCGAATTCATTCAGCACGTCTCTGGCACCATCACGTCGTTAGATGTGAAAATACCCGTTTCTTCTGGTGTTTATCTGAAGAGCCTTGTGATCAGCCAATCAGCGAGCAGAGGAGGTGGGGCTTTTGGGTAATCACGACCACAGCAGCAACTGAAAGCAGCAAGGACAATGAGACAGACAGAGAACAGGGTGTACTGTACTTCCTTTGACTAACACGTGCAGATTATGCTATGAAATGCATTATGTTGAAGGGAAAGAAACATTAAAAAAGCAAGACTATTTTATATATTATGCTCTGTAGTATGTTGATGTAGATATAAATTCAAGTTTCTGTTCAAATTATCAACACCCATTAGCAGTTAGGGGAGATTGGGGTAAAATCTGCAATGTTATACTTAAAGTGATACACCCATAAAAGTGATTTCTTCTTTTACTCAATCAGGTTGTTCTAAACCGTTTACATGTATTTCTTTAGTGGAATGCCATTGAAACATCTCAGTTACTCTTTGCTTTCATTGTATGGAAAAATATGCAATGAAAGTGAAAGATGACTGAGACTGTCAGTCACTGTAATTATGTTTAACTTCTCTGTTTGTGTTACATTAAGAAAGTAAGACATACAGGCTTGAAACAACATAATGGTGGATAATTTTGGTGGGGGGGTGAATTGTTCCTTCAAGTTGCTCACAAGGGGAAATGAGAAAGATGTAAAACAAATACTCCTAATTAAAATTAAAAGAAGGAGTCTACATCATAGGACTATAGAAATAGCACTTTAAAAAATATAGTTCAGTGACACAATTTGCCTCACAATGTCAAGGGCTAAGTTGAATCATTAGGGAAGAAGTGAACTAAAATGCACTCAAAATAAAATCATTTCCATAAACCAGTTAAAGCAATTGTCCACCCAAAATCATCATGATCATCATCCTAAAATCATCTACCAGTGTCAGCTGCAATGCTTCACTGCCATTCACAAATCTGTGGCCTCATGGGATAGTAAAGTGTCCATTGAATGCACATTTCAGAATCTCACTGGAACTATTAGGTTATCCGGGTACTCTTTTACTGTGATTTCAGACATACTTTTTTGTCACATACTGTTTTTCTATATAGTACACTCTAAAAAATGCTGGGTTAAATACAACCCAGTGCTGGGTAAAATAGGGACAAACCCAGCAATTGGGTTGTTTTGACCCAGCGGTTGGGTTACTACCCAGAAGGTTGGGTTAAACATTTAACCCAACCGCTGGGTCAAAACAGCCCAATTGCTGGGTTTGTCCCTATTTTACCCAGCACTGGGTTGTATTTAACCCAGCATTTTTTAGAGTGTAGGGATGTATGTGATTTCGTATGCAGCCAAGCTTCATGTTGCGTACATCACTCATTACATCACATGGTAATGTTTACGGCAAGCATGAAGTTGCATATGACAGCTTTTAGGAGCTCTTCTAAAAAAAATTAACTGGTAAATGATATAGTACAATGTAATTAAATATTTGTGATCTTTTTTTTTTTGTTGTTAAAATACTACTTTTTTCATTGCATTTTTGCTGCCTCCTCACCACATACATTTTGGATATGTTATGAGCAAGCTCAGCAACAGTTGGAATTTGTATTTAATTTATTTTTTTTAATTAGAATTAAATAGACATTCTTAATTCAATTGTGTATACAACTCTGCTGGGCTGAGTTTAATCGGGTTATAGAAAAAACATACGAATAACAAAACTGAAAATGAACTTATTTATGCAAAAGCCGAATGAACTAGCCTTTTCATTTCACAGCTCAGAATGTGTAACAAACACTTATGACAATTCACAATTAAAATAACAAAGACACTGATTAAACTCAAAATTAATTTATTTGCAATATTTAGTTTTTCTATTCCTTTGTAGCGTCTGGACCAATCAAAATCACAATTTTTCATTTGATTTGTATGACTGTATGTGTGTGTGTATGTGTATGTTAGACCAGTTTAAGTGTTTATGTAGTATGTTAGACTAGTTTTAAGTGTTTATGTAGTTAATAAAGTCTTACTTGTATCACACTTGACGTTGTTCATTGTTTGCTCATAACTGGAGTCACTTAATCATGCAGATTTATGCTACAAGCTCTTTGTAGAATTGTACAGTAAGAAAGTTATTTCCCTTAACCAGGAAATTAACGTTCTTAGAATTGACAGACAGTTGACCCTGAGAGGTCAAGTAAATATCGACAGCGGATCTAAATATTTATAATTAATTATAACTAGTTATGATTAATTATTCATATTTCCCTTATGAGCTGATTCGCTACATATTCCTTGATAAAAAGAGAGAATTATCTCGTTCCGATATAAGGCAAAGATGACACAAGAAAATTGTGACAATGTTGTGCCAATGTGAGCAAAAGATGATGCAAAAAAAAATCGAAATAGGGAAATTCACATAAACGAGATGATGAAGACAAGAAATGGAAGGAGATGTAGCGAACACACTCCCAACACTTTGGCTCCACTGGGGTCCTCCATAATATGAGAAGACATGAATGCGCAAGTATAAAACACAGATGACTCGAACATGAGTGGGAAAACACTCTTGCACCGATGTTAGCAAAAGATGATGCAAAACATTAAAAATAGGAAAATGCACACAAACGAGACGATGAAGACAAGAAATGGAAGGAGATGTAATGAACACGCAAGTATGAAGCACAGATGACTCAAATAAAAAAGATGGTTCCTCGATCCCTCTGGCTCTGCTGGGGTACCTCGTCTCTATGGCTCCACCTTGGTCTGTCGTCCCTCTGGCTCCAACATGGACTTCTGGGCATTTGGCTGTGTCTGGACCCTCTAACCTTTTGGCTCCACTGGGGTCCTTCTTAATATGAGGAGATGATGCGAATGCACAAGTATAAAGCATTGATGACTCAAACATGAGAGCGAGAATAATGTCGTGCCAAATGTGAGCAAAAGATGATGCAAAAAAATTCAAAATAGAAAAATGCACATAAATGAGACAATGAAGTCAAGAAATGGAAGGAGATGTAGCGAACACATTTCAACACTTTGGCTCCACTGGGGTCCTCCATATGAGGAGAAGATGTGAATGCACAAGTATAAAACACAGTTGACTCAAACATGAGAGGAAGAATTATCTCACTTCTATGTGAGCCAAATATACTAGCAAAATAATCCAAAACAACAAAATGCCCACGAACGAGATGATGGATCGTTAATCCCTCTGGCTCTGCCTGGGGTCCCTTGTCTCTATGACTCTGCCTTGGTCTGGTGTCCCCTGGCTCCAACATGGACTTCTGGGCCTTTGGCTGCATCTGGACCCTTCAACCCTTAAGCTCCGCTGGTGTCCTTTATAATGTGTATGAGATGATACGAACGCACAAGTATAAAGCATTGATGACTCAAACATGACAACGAGAACAATGTCGTGCCAATGTGAGTAAAAAGATGATGCAAAAAAATTCAAAATAGAAAAATGAACATGAACCAGATGATGAAGACAAGAAATGGAAGGAGAGTGAACACGCAAGTATGAAGCACAGAAGACTCATAGATAAAAGATGGCTCATCGATCCCTCTGGCTCTGCTGGGTTTCCTCGTCTCTACGATTCTGCCTTGGTCTGTTGTCCCCCTGTCCGCCTCAACACTCTTGTACAGATGTGAGCAAAAGATGATGCAAAAAATACAAAATAGGAAAATGGAAGAGATGTAGCAAACACACAAGTATGATACACAGATGACTCAAATATAAAAGATGGTTCCTCTATCCCTCTGGCTCTGCTGGGGTTCCTCGTCTCTATGGCTCCACCTTGGTCTGTCGACCCTCTGGCTCCAACATGGACTTCTGGGCCTTTGGCTGCATCTGGACCCTCTAACACTTTGGCTCCACTGGGGTCCTTCTTAATATGAGGAGATGACTTGAATGCACAAGTATAAAGCATTGATGACTCAAACATGAGAGGAAGAACTATTTCGCTTCTATGTGAGCCAAATATACTCGCAAAATAATCCAAAACAACAAAATGCCCACAAACGAGATGATGGTTCATTAATCCCTCTGGCTCTGCTGGGGTTCCTCGTCTCCATGGCTCCACCTTGGTCTGTCATACCTCTGGCTCCAACATGGACTTCTGGGGGCACAGATGACTCATAGATAAAAGATGGCTCATCGATCCCTCTGGCTCTGCAGGGTTTCCTCATCTCTACAGTTCCGGACTTCTGGGCCTTTGGCTGCATCTTGACCATCCAACACTTTGGCTCCACTGGGGTCCTTCTTAATATGAGGAGATGATGCGAATGCACAAGTATAAAGCATTGATGATTCAAACATGAGAGGGAGAACAATCTTGCCCTGATGTGAGCCAAAGATGATGATTAATTATCTTTTCAACCAAGCCAAAGGTTCACATTTGTTGTTACAGATATGATATAGCTAACATGCAGTGAAACATGCAATCATACATCAACAGCTTTACAGTGCCTTCATACCCCCTTGTGAGCAAGCCAAAGGCGACAGTGGCAAGGAAAAACTTCCTTTGGTACAACGAGTAGTACACCTAGAAAGAAATCTTGAGAGGAACCAAGACTCAGCAGGGGGGGGGGGCATCCTCCTCTGGCTGGCACAATAAAAATTTTAAATACAATTGTGAATATTCCAATATGCAAATATAGTAGTGTGTGCACTCCAAAATTAAAGCGAATATTTGCATCACGTTACTTGCTCTAGATTACTTGCGGGATGTTTTTTTTTGCGTCACTCGCGTGAATAAAAACCTAACAATAAAAACCATTTTCTGATACAGCCGGACGTGTCAAACAGGATGTGTCAATAAGGTCTTCGCTGATTGGCTTGCGTGACAACACTTCATGCGAATTTTCCACTCGAGTTGAAATTTGCGTCTATTTGCTCCTTTGCATTGAATTTGTATGTAAACTACTCGCACAAATAATTCAATTAGCTTTTGGTTTGCACACAAATATACATGCAAAATAATCCAAAATAACAAAATACACATGAAAGAGATGATGGCTCGTCGATCCCCCTGGCTCCAACATGAACTTCTAGGCCTTTGGCTCCGTCTGGACCCTCCGACTCACTGGCTCCACTGGGGTACTCCGTAATATGAAGAGATGACATGAA